AGCTGTGGGCGAAGGACAACGACAACTTCGCCCTGCAACAGCAGCTTGCTGAGAAGGAAGCAGCTATGGCTGAGCAAGCTGCAGAGCTGGAAAAGCTGAAAAGTGAGCTGCAGCAAGCCAAAGCTGAAGCTGCAACAGCTGCAACAGCTGCAGCAATGGCAGCAGCTGCTCCTGGAGAGCCAGCCAGCTCCAACCTGCCAGCACAGAAGGTGCAGAAGACATGGCTGGAGCAGCAGCTCAAGTCTGGCTGGATGAACAGGTCAATAGCTTTGGCTGGGGCAGTGAGGCAGAAGGACACTGTCAGGCTGGTCGAGCTGGTGAAGAAGCAGCTTGGCTGCCTTTTGTTTTTGTGGTAATGTGCAAAACACATGTTGCATCGAAAAAAGCCTTCGGGCTGCATGCTCAACCCTAAACCCTACACCCTAAACCCTAAACCCTCCACTGCTAGCCTTCCCCTGGGAACAATACCAACCTCAGGTATGAAGACCACTCTGAGGAGTTCAAGGCAGCTCTGGCCAAGCATGTTTCAATTTTGCAAGCCCATGGGTGGGATTGGCACTATCATTACTGATAAGTCAAAATGTCATGACAAGCAGCAATTGCTAGCACATTTTCCGGCCCCTGCAAAACATAGCTTCTAAACATATTAATGCAATATAATTTTGCTGCAATGGTTGCTGCTTGATCATGACAAATTTCATAAGCGTAAGCTTAACAAGCTTTCGAGCTATGTCTCATCAATTGCAACACTCTGCCACTAGCTGTTAATGGCTTAGCCAGAAGGAGTTTATTTGCAGCTTAGACTTTGAACCCCTAAGTTTAAACCTGGCATAAAATTAGCAACCCTCAATCCTCAACCCTAAACATTAAATCTCACACCCTACAAATCATCAAGCCTGAGATTGCTAGCTTCAGCAAGTATCATTTGTGTTAGCAACATCTTAAAACCCACATCATCAAGGATGAAGCACAATCCACAATTGTTTAGCTATTGGTTTGGAATATGGTTTAAGGCTTGGGGTTGAGGGTTGTGTAGTAGCTTATGATGCAGAGTGATGCATTTGAAGACAAAATATTGTTTGCATGGCTAGCAGCCATTGCAACTTCTGCCTGCAATTGCCGGGCTTAATTGGTGTCACAAGAGCTCAAGCTTCTTGCTGCCAGTTAATATTAAACAAGATCCAGTCAGCATATGAATCGCAGAGTTGTGCAAATATGATTGAAATCATAATCGTAAGTAATTCCAAAATGGAAAATTCTCATTTAATATTACCAAATTATTTTGGAAAAAACATTAAAAATTTTCATTCAGTATTATTTATTTCAAGGAATTATGAAAACCCGATTTTGCAC